CACGCAGTTTTATAGAATAGTTTTGTGTACAGTGAACTGAGTAAGGCACATAGTTTAGCATATTTTTAAAGTGAAAATGGCTTCTCAAGATATAGTTCTTTCTTGAATTCTGCTTGCTTATGCAAAAAAATTAAAAAAATCACTGTAATTTTTGATATTATTCATTTCTGATAATTAAAACCACAGATTATAAACTTATCGTCAAAAGCATTGTTTTTCGTAGTTTCAATTTTCGGAGACGCGCACTAGTTAGGTTACTAGTTTGCGCACATAGCACGCCCACTTATGGCCTCTAAAATTGTGCACATCGCCTGACCGGCCCAGTTATTACACTTTTTAAACGCGAGTTTATTTTTGCGCACAGTAAATTTTACTCGTTTGCTCATCGTCATAAAAAACTATTTTTGTACCACGAATTAGGGACAAGATTTTTATCTGCATACATGTAGTAGACCTAACCTGTGTTAAAACTATTCTCCATAATATTGGAAACCAAACAAAAATATTTGATAACCTACATTGTTATTCTTTTACTAAAAGTACTAGAGCACGCATCAATAAACAGTAAATAAAGCCTTTTGGCCTTTTTATTTTTGACGCGCAGCGAATACACAAGAACCCACTGCTCGGTTGTTTGAAGTTCGGAAGTTGAGCTGTTTCCGCTATAGCAGGAAATAATATCGCACTTGCTTTATACTCAAATTCTGGTCCTTCTCGACGTTACTCAAATAATAAACCCTCTGACAAAAGGTGTTTTCTTTCTTTTGATTTGTGGAAAATTGTAATAATTTGATATCTAATTATAGTATAGTTATTTTGAGACAAGAAAATTAAGAAGAACGCTATACCGGATTTCTCGGTGTGTGTTTTATTTAATGAAATACCTAAATTTCATAGGAATCTAAGATAAAAATCTTAACTATTAAGTGGTAATATTGGTTTAGTGTCCTTGATAACAACCCTGAAAAACTTACTTAGGGTGTATTCCGATGCTTACCTTGGTTATGGTTTTATGTTCCGTTTCTATCGGTTTCCTGAAAGTTTTCTTATTACCGAACACGGTTCCTGAAAAATTCGGTTATAACTGATACCAAACTAACCAGCGCTGGTTTTTCTGGTTTTGTTTGTTAATCATTGTAATTTATGTGACAGAAATCAAGCAAATATTGGAAGTTCGAGTGAAATTCTCATTTAATTTCTAAAATTTGTAATAATATTGTGTATTTACATCCAAAAGCACTGGAGGTAGGCAGTAAAGGTAAATAAATATCATTACCTAAATAGAATTACTTTTTACGACCATTTAAACTTATCATGCAGCCATTGTCTCTTATATAGTCAGGAACATTTAAAGACAACAAAAAAAAACACAAGTAATTGTGAATGTTTTGTAAGCTATAAAAATATAAATATTGATTTGTTTATTTATTATTGATCTGTCTTAATATTGGACCTGCAAATCTTCACTTGAGCTGTTTAACGAGTTTATTAATAAAGTACTTTTCAATATTAAACTTCATTGAAAAAGAAGAAGCAATCGTGAAAGTAGAGAATAAGTGCATTAAAAATGCATAAAAGATAACTTTTATAATAGAGGTATTGAAATTTAGAAAACGTCAACATTTGACATTTCCAATTTTTTACCAAACCGTTCCATATCAAACCGATGTTTTTCAGGAACCGCTCTTTACCGTAGTTTACCGGTCTGGTTTGCCTGGTTTTGCAACGGTTGACAAGTACTCGGTGACAAGTATTTACACGTATCAGAAGATGGTTACGTAAGGCGTTTCCTTTCATGAGTTTTTCTCTGACCGAAAAGCCCGATACGCGATGTTATCTCTCTTCCACACTCCAGACATTCAAAAATCTCATTACTTTGTTGTCTCTTTACTTTTTGGTTGTCGTTGTTAATTGAGTTTATAATTTTTCTCCTTTGCGTTATATTGTGCGCTGCTTCCTCCCACTGATTTTGCATGCTTATCCTCTTTAAGTTTTCATGGAAAATATCCTTGTACTTTTTGAGTTGTCCACCCGGTGTCCTCTTACCGTCTACAAGGCGGTTTTCTTGCATCCTGCATACGTGATCAGCCCATCTTAAGCGGGATTTAGTAACCCTGACTTCAGGGCTCTCACAGCTAGCTTTTTCAAGGACCGCTACGTTTGAAACATGGTGGTACTATTTGATTCTTAACAGCTGTCTACTGTGTTGCAACTTGTTTAATACGTTCATGTATCGACGATACGTCACCCAGGTTGCGCTTTCGTATAACTTGCTGGGTACACTGCAAGTTTTGTTTCTGTACGCAAGGCATGATTGTAAAAAACCCGGTCTTTTAATTTTCAGAATACTCTTGAAGCGCTGCTAATTCTGCTAATTCATATTTCAATAGTTCTTCTACGATTTTTATAGCATTGTTATGATTTTCCAGAGGAGTGCACATCATTTTAGTTTATCGATGTTCAGCTTAAAACCCAAAGGTATACGTGCCCAGGTATACGTGTTCAGCATTTCTTGTACTTGCTGTAACGTTTTTGCAACTAGAGCGCAGCGTATTGAAGTTCTGTGATGAATTTTATATGTGTTTGCCCTGAGTGATTTTATGTTGAACAGACCGCCGCGCGCCGCGCCGTCCTATATGTATTTAATGCCTATTCCTCTTTCCTGCCCTTTACTATCCACTATAATAGAGAACGCTGCTATGAATATGTTGAATAGGAGAGACGATAAGACACATCCCTGCCTAATTTCTCTATTTGTTAGGAAGGGATCCATGATGTGACACTCTAGACTTGTTGTTATGGAGGCTTTTAAACACTGGAAGAAATTTGTTGAGTATTCCGAACTTTTGCATAATTGCCCAAAGTGTATCTCTGTTTACAGAATCAAAAGCTTTTGTTAGTTCGGTGATTGACACTGACCGGCACGAAAAACGGTAACATTAAAATTACATGCATTTTATAATTAAATGTTCTGTTACGTTTTTTGCTGGATTCCGTGTGGATAATCAAAAAGCTAATTCATCTAACAAAGCTTATTAACACTATAGAACAACACTAAAAACGATTTAATACTATTTACAACTTAGAACTAATGTTTATTGACGAATTTATGTATAATTTATTGAATCTAAAAAATACTTTATTATCAAGTTGCATCTTTTCTCGGTGGTTATTGAAAAGTCACATTATTATTGATTGTTATCAGCTACTCTAGTCTAGATGGTTTTTAAGCTTTATCGCTATTGTTGCTTTTATTGACTTAAAACCATCTCTAGTAGAGTAACTACCAACAAACAATAATAATATGCCTTTTCAATGACAGTGACATTACAAAAACAATAACCACTATTTCATAGGCATGTTGATATGACCAAAAGCAAAGACATGCTTTTAATGCTAAAATTGCTGTAAATTGTTACTTTTTTCAAATGCGAATAACTTCAATGAAAATAAATCTATTGAAATGAAAATAAAAACAATCTATCGAGGAAAGAAGAACTATGATAATAAAGTTGTTTTTAAGTTCGTACTTTGTTGAGTCCTTCCATAGAGTGCTTCAAATGAGGGGCGTCTCACTATTGGAATTACCTGTACATTTTCTTGGCAGTCGCTGGCAGTCATTGGCAGTCTTACGGCAGTCGCCTATAATAATTACATGGCAGTCATAGGCAGTCTTCTTCGCAGTCATTGGCAGTCGCTTGGCAGTAAAACGATATTTTGGCAGTACATGTACATTTTTTACCCAAGTGAGACACCCCTCGGTTTCAAACTTTCGCCAGAATAACATTTTGTTTTTCATATTATACATACAGGGTGAGTCTTAAATAAGTGCAAATATTATCGAGGCTGGTAGATCTCAATAAAATAAACTTATTTTCTGAGAACCTAAATGAATGAAAATGAAAATTTGGATCTTTTCTGGATTTTTCTTGTAAATGTAATCTAATACCTATGTTGCCATATTATCAACAAATTATTTTTTTAACAAGAAACTAAAAAAATCTCCAAAAAAACTCATAATCGCGTTTGTAGGGTCGAAATATACTACCCCTAAAAATATTTGCACTTATTTTTAAGACTCACCCTGTATATTTCGTATATACAGGGTGAGCCTTAAATCAGTGCAAATATTTTCAGGGCTGGTAGATCTCGTAAAATAAACATATTTTCTCTTTACCGTTTTTCAAATAAATCTGTAACATATCTCGGTTATTTTAGATATTCAAATAAAAATGATTTTTTGCTAAAATTTTGAGAACCACTGGATCTTTTCTGGATTTTCTTTCTTCTAAATTTAATCTACTACCTATGTTGCCATATTATCAACAAATTACCGTTTTTATGTAAAAATAAAAAAAATGTTCAAAAAGTTCCAAATTTTCCAATTTTTTTTAACGCAAGAAAAAACTCATAATCGTGTTTCTGGGGGTCGAAATATACTACCCATTAAAATATTTGCACCTATTTAAGACTCACCCTGTATATGCTGTATAGTAGCTTGTGGCGATTTTTAGAAAGAGACATTTTATATATATATATGTATATGCTATATATATATAGCTTGTGGCGATTTTTAGCAGAGACATTTTATATATATATATATATATATATATATATATATATATATATATATATATATATATATATATATTTTTTTTTTTCATGCAATATTATGTATGTCTATGTTTTTTTTTAAACAGAAAACATATATGTTTTATTTATCCCGTATATTTAAATAATACTTCCCGAATGTGCACTACCATTGTTTCCACGTTCTTTTTAAATAGAAATGAAGCAAAATTATCTGTTTTGTGCTAAAAATATCATTCTCATTCTGTCATAACAGCGCTTTCGCTAATATCTCTTACAAAAATGATATGAATTTTTAAAATCCTCATCGTTCCAGTTCCCCGACAGGTCTATAAAAATTTTAATGCCCCTATTGTAAACGACCTCAAAAAATAAAATGAAAAATTCTCTATATACATTTTTCTTTTCAGACCATTTTTAAAAGTGCGGATTTCGAAGGAGTGAGCATTTGTATTGTGAACCTGGCCGACGACATGAAGGAATACATGAGAGGAATTTTTCTGGTCACGTAAGTACCATTCCTAAAAAGAAAGCTTAGAGTCGTGTTTAGAACCGAAAAGAATGCCAACAATGCTTTTTAAGTATGTACGGGGGTGGTTTATATGGTGTAGAATATTGGTGATAATAGCAATCCTGAAACGGATTAAAAAATCGTACCGTTATGAAGAATTGAAAAATGCAGGGTGTTAGAGAAGTTTGATATGATATAATTGGGAATATACAGGGTGGTCCGAACTGTATTCCGGAAACTTCGGCAGCATATTCTGCAGATAAAAGTAAATAAAAAAGTTCGTATAAATGTATGTCCTAAAATTCTTAGTTTCGGAGATACAGGGTGTAGAAGTTTCATTTTTAATTCGATTTATTTCAAATAATTTCTGAAGTAACGTCAATATTTGGATGAAAATTGGTGTCTAGGAGTTTTTTGACATGAGAAATTTGATTTTGATGTCAATATGACTCCTACTGGCAGAGGGCGCCACCTACATATTTTTTAACTGGTTTGAAGAGTAATAACTTTTCGTCCGTACCTGTATAAAACTACTGAGTAAAAAAATATACATTTTTTTACGTGAAAAAGGTCTCTTGGTAAAAATCGCTACGAGAAATGGTTTTCGAGATATTTGGAATCGAAATTATCAATACCTGTCATCATTGACATATATTAGACATGTTAACTAAATAGTTATTAGACTGAAATCATAAATTTGAAATGTTTTTGTGCCAAAAGTTCAACAGAAACTGTTTTATCATCATTTTTTGCAAAAAGATTTATGATTAATTTAAAAAAAAAATAAAAATTTCCCAAATTTATTATTTCAGTGAAATAACTATCTACTCAACGTGTTTATTTTTCGTCAATAATGACATGCGTTGTCTATTTCCATTCTAAATATCTTAAAAACGGTTGATCGTAGCGATTTTTACAAAGAGATATTTTTTACGTAAAAAGTAACAGAGATGTATATTTTTTCGCTCGGTGGTTTTATACAGGTACGGACAAAAAGTTATTACGTTTCAAAACAGTTAAAACATATGTAGGTGGCGCCCTCTACTAGTAGGTGTCATATTTACAGCAAAATCAACTTTCTCATATCAAAAAACGTTACTTCAAAAATTATTTAGAAAAAATCGAAATAAAAATGAAACTTCTACACCCTGTAACTCTGAAAGTAAGCATTTTAGGGCATACATTTATACGAACTTTTTTACTTATTTTTATCTGCAAAATATGCTGCCGAAGTTTCCGGAATACAGTTCGGACCACCCTGTATACACATATACAGGGTATACCAATACTCCGTGGACATACCGGGTGGTGCATTGTCATTGGAAACAGGAAATCCCATGCAAATTTTGAATTTTGAAGGTCTGCGTATGCTGAATAGACATGCGAAATTTGAACAATTTTCGACAAGCCGATTTTAAGTAATTTATGAAAAACTGCATCTATTTTTAAATTAAAACTGAACAAGTAACAATGCAAAACCAGTCAATGTCAACATACCTTAAGTTATCAACCTATTATTAAATAATTATCAAATGTAATTTGTTGAGCTGTCTGCACTACTACGTTATAGTACCTATCAAAGACATTATAAATATAGACCGAACATCTCATTCATAAATACTCGTTGGTAGTGTATCAAACATTCCAATGTGTCAAACAAGGACAGAAGAGACAGAGAAGTCTAAAATTTCCGACCCCGGCAACTAGGCGCATTTGGATTGTTCTAATGGCCAGTGGGGTATCGTTTTTTGGAACGAATTTAATTAGTAAAGTAAAAGTAAGTAATTAGTAAAATGTTTACTCCGTATTAATATACTACATTAACACATTTTCGTCAGATGAGTTTTGTTATAAGGTCTAATATAGTAATATAATTAATATCCCACATATACTTATGTTGAAACGTTAGTAGGTAGTTTTCGAAAATCGCTCCAACGTCGCTTTTCAATTTAAACTTTCAGTTAATTCTATATAAACTTTCAGTTACTTTTGAATATTTACAGGGTGACTCAGGCTTCCGAAATAGTTCTATATTAGGTTTGTGGTTGGTGACTTTTCTTTCAATTTTTTTTTCAGAATATGGAGGCAATGATAAAGCACATTTTAGACATTTTTGTAAATATAGGTGGCCGGAACATATTTTCAAACTAAAGTTGTAGATTTGCCATTAAATTTCCATTCCAGAAATACCTAGGGTTGCCACCTGTCCGTTTTTGAAAAGGACAGTCCTTTTTGGAATAACTTGTCCTTTTGACTTCTTTTTTTGACTTAAAAGTCATTTTATTTACGTATTTTCCCTGAGAAAATTACCAACAGCAAACAGAAATATTATTTTCGTCCAAATTTAATTAGAGATGTTATAAAACTTATAAATAAATTTTTTCTTTTAGAATAGGCAACATTATTTAGAACTTCCCGTTTAATCTCAAATGATAATTTAGGTTTTAGTTTTACCTTTTTTGATCTTAAAAAGAACTTTTTAAAATTAATAATTAGTAACGATTTAGTTCATTCGCAATCGATAGCTTCCTGTAAAGTACTATGTAATAGTTGTTTAATCTTGTATTATTAATAACTTTTCCTTCACCTAAAATCAACATTTAATGAGAAAATTTTGTTTTTTTGAAAATATAAGACAAGATTAGACTTTCGGTCTTCTTCTTGTATTATGATGGCTCTGATACGAGGCAATTACCTTTTAGTCTCTCAATAGAAGGCATTTATCATTAAAAGTATCAAATCTGTGTGCTACAGTATGGGATTTCTGTCGCATAATAATGAATATTACGTTTATTTACAAATCCATTACTTTTAAAGGTAGCTTCATCAGACAATCAAATTTTAGTTAAATGTCCCAATCTTCATGAACTGTATTAAGCATATGTATTGCGGTTTGAATCACCCCGAGAATCACCCTGTATGTTGATAAAAATATTTTGAAAATGTGCGTACAATGGCCCTCATCTTATGTAAAAATTGAAATAAAGATTACAAACCTAAAACGTAATAGGTAAAAGCTTTTTGGAGGCCTGGGTCACTCTGTATATAGGTATGTATAAAACTAGTAGCCTAAGAATTATTTACAGTTCGTCCCATTCTAAAAAAAGGTAAACACACCGTACAAATAACTCTAGGAAGAGGTATTTGTACGGTGGTAAAAAATTGTTTAAACGATGCCGAAGGGGCAGATATAATAATGCAATAAAATGTAGAAAAGGGCGGGTAAACACCTTTGTTTATTTGTTGAGCAAAATTCCTTTAGAATATCGTATATAATGACCAAAATATGACGCAATTTTAAGGAAAAAAATGTCACTTTCTGGCTTATAATAAAGTTTCAAATGCAACGTTTATATTCAAATTTGTTATGATCTACAACAGTTAAGTAGTAGTCGAATTATAATTCAATTACCGGCTACTACGTTCTTGTTTTAATAGCTCAAAATTCAACAAATATAATTAGAAATTATTTTAATTGTGAGAGGCTCCCTTGTGGAACGCCTATGTACGGCGATTACGGCGCGGCGGAAACAATACCTACCTGTGAAAAGACAAATTCGGGTAATTTGAGCTTATTTTTCCACACATTTGACACTGTCGTACCATATTGAAAATTCGCACATTCAAAAGTACGTTAAACAAAAGCAAAAACTACTGAAAAACACTGAAAAGTTCACTTCGGACTTGATTCCGACTTCAAACACACCGTAAGCTAAACGTAGTACGCTATAACAGACCAAGGGCCGTCGCGAGGGGTGGTGGGACGGACGGCTCATTTCATTCTGAAAGACTAGCAGCGACGTTGCCAATAGTTCTAGACGTTTCAGCACATTAAACAGTAAACATGTCCTTTAATAGTAACGCATATATCCTCTGGTTAATAACATATTATTACGCATGCTTCTTTAAAAATAAACTATTAATTTAATTAAGAAATTGAGATTTATTGATATCCGGTGAATGTTTAAAAGTCACCTTTTCTGCAAATCAAACTAAGCAGATAGGCGCAAATTTGAGATGTGGCAATGTCGCCTTCTCTATCTCAGTTGGTTTTTACAGTACGTAGTCAACCTCCGATTGTTTGATCGGGTTAAAATGCAAAATGTGATATCTGTTCTTGCTAAATCTATGGTACACCTATGCTTAGTGTTCCCGAAATGTATTTTTGTAATTTTAAACTGGTTTGAATGAGCTAAATGCATAACGGTTAGAAAATACAATTTGACATTGACAAAATTATAGGATGCATAGATAAATGCAACAAGTTTAGATTGGAAAGCTCGTAGAAATTTTAGGTCGCGAAATTATTTTGGGTCGCGACCGTTATACGCGATCTGGTGCTGTTATAGCGGTCGCTAAGAACAACGGCAAACAAAAACAGAAACATAGATAAAAGAAAATAATCTACTATTAAGAAACAGAAATAATTTTCTCTTGTTAAAGTCAGAATCTTCAAAAATCATAATATTCTTTCAAAATCTAAACCGTTCTCATTAAAGAAATTCCGAAAAGTGTTTATAGCGTCCATTTTCAAAGTAATAATTGCTATCTTGTGAGTTTAATTCAAGTTTTATTTACTCCAACCGGTGATAATTGTGAAAAAGTGGCATTAAAAACTTAAAAAGCTGTGCTGTGAACTGTGAACTGCAAAAACCATCGTGGATCGTGGCATAACGTCGGTTTCCAATGTTTCATAGGTATTTCATACATGCGTCCTTATAAAAAATAAAGTTTCTTGTATGCAACACACTGTCTTTTATTTATAAAATTAAACGAAAATAATAAATTTGAATAAACAATATTTGGCGATATAATTCCGGAAAAAGCCGAACCGCTCCGAAATTTTCAAAAGTTTTGGGTCGCGACCGTTGCTAGAATAGCGCCAACTAGTGTTTACATTGTCCTTATGGGCAGTTTCCAATCTAAACTTGTTTCGTTTATCTACGATAGGATGACAACTTCAGGTACGTCGGCATTTACCTGTTTTTGCATTGTTA